GTGAACAGTATTTAGATAAGGCTAAAAGGTCTTTGTGGCATTTATGGATTGGAAAAGGCGTATGACGGGTGGATAGGGGGGCAATGTGGCAGATGTTGCAAGTGTATGGTGTAGGAGGTAGGTTACTGAAAGCAGTGAAGAGTTTTTACGAGGATAGTGAGGCTCAAGTTAGAGTATGTAGGAAAGAGGGAAATTATTTCCCAGTGAAAGTAGGCCTTAGACAAGGATGTGTGATGTCACCGTGGTTGTTTAATATATTTATAGATGGGGTTGTAAGAGAAGTAAATGCGAGGGTCTTGGCAAGAGGCGTGGAATTAAAAGATAAAGAATCACACACAAAGTGGGAGTTGTCACAGCTGCTCTTTGCTGATGACACTGTGCTCTTGGGAGATTCTGAAGAGAAGTTGCAGAGATTGGTGGATGAATTTGGTAGGGTGTGCAAAAGAAGAAAATTAAAGGTGAATACAGGAAAGAGTAAGGTTATGAGGATAACAAAAAGATTAGGTGATGAAAGATTGAATATCAGATTGGAGGAGAGAGTATGGAGGAGGTGAATGTATTCAGATATTTGGGAGTGGACGTGTCAGCGGATGGGTCTATGAAAGATGAGGTGAATCATAAAATTGGTGAGGGGAAAAGAGTGAGTGGTGCACTTAGGAGTCTGTGGAGACAAAGAACTTTGTCCTTGGAGGCAAAGAGGGGAATGTATGAGAGTATAGTTTTACCAACGCTCTTATATTGGTGTGAAGCATGGGTGATGAATGTTGCAGCGAGAAGAAGGCTGGAGGCAGTGGAGATGTCATGTCTGAGGGCAATGTGTGGTGTGAATATAATGCAGAGAATTCGTAGTTTGGAAGTTAGGAGGAGGTGCGGGATTACCAAAACTGTTGTCCAGAGGGCTGAGGAAGGGTTGTTGAGGTGGTTTGGACATGTAGAGAGAATGGAGCGAAACAGAATAACTTCAAGAGTGTATCAGTCTGTAGTGGAAGGAAGGCGGGGTAGGGGTCGGCCTAGGAAAGGTTGGAGAGAGGGGGTAAAGGAGGTTTTGTGTGCGAGGGGCTTGGACTTCCAGCAGGCATGCGTGAGCGTGTTTGATAGGAGTGAATGGAGACAAATGGTTTTTAATACTTGACGTGCTGTTGGAGTGTGAGCAAAGTAACATTTATGAAGGGGTTCAGGGAAACCTGCAGGCCGGACTTAAGTCCTGGAGATGGGAAGTACAGTGCCTGCACTCTGAAGGAGGGGTGTTAATGTTGCAGTTTAACTGTAGTGTAAAGCACCCTTCTGGCAAGACAGTGATGGAGTGAATGATGGTGAAAGTTTTTCTTTTTCGGGCCACCCTGCCTTGGTGGGAATCGGCCAGTTTGTAATAAAAAAATTAAATAAAATATATTATATATTTATATAATTTTATTAATAAATTATATATATATATATATATATAATTTAATATAAATATATATTTTAAAAATTTATAAATATATAAATAAATTATATATATATATATATATATAATTAAATATATTATATATATAATTATATATAAAATTTATATAATTATATATTATAATATATTTTAAATTATTATATAGTTCGCCAAACAACAAAAAAATTGGGGTTTGTGTACCAGCTGAAATGAAGGGAAAAAAGAGGGAAAACCGACCCCAACGGGGGCAAGACCACACTTTTTTCCCACCATTTTAAAAAGGCATTTCAAAAAGTAAAGTTTGACACGGTTTTGTCTTCTGGAAAATCCCTGATGTGGCCCCCTTGCCGCACGAGCTGCGGCTTCACCCCTTAAGCCCCCAAACCCCATGGTGTGGCTGGCGAAACTGGTATTTTCTGGGGCAATTTTTTTTACTGCTGTTTTGAAACCCGAGGCGACGAGTTTTCCAACAGAAATGGGTCTGATTCCCCATCCTTCTTCTTCAAAACACATAATGAGACTCCAAAAAGAAAAGGTTTAATTTCTTTGGAATCCGCCCAGCCAGGACTTAGTTTTAAATGAGGGCTTTTAATTGACCGTTTTAAATTTGGCACGACATTATAATTATATTTAATAATAATATATATATTATATATAATTTTAAATAATGTATATAATATATATATATATAAATATATATTTTTATTATATATATTTATTATAATAAAATATATAAATAATATATATATAATATTTAAAATAATATATATAAATATATATAATATATATATATATTATAATATATATATAAAATTTTAAATATTATATATATTATATATATATAATATTTTAAATATATGTCGTGCCCAAAATATAAAATGTCAAATTTGCAAGACCCCATTTAAACTAAGTCCTTTTTAAAAAATTTTTTGATACGTTTAAAGATATAATTTTTCTTAATGTTGAAAAAATTTATAATTTTGCACCAAATGGGGCTTTGAAAATTACCTAACTTTATTATAACAAGAGCAATTTATTTTAAGCCCAACCCAATAAAATATTTTAATTTGTTTACAGTAAATTTTAAAATAAACAAACACAGTGAAAATATTTTTTTTCGATAGGTTTTAAATGATTTTTTCGAAATTTTTGATCAAATTTTTTGCTTTTTCCCATATGGCAAGATGAGCGTTGCTATTTTAAACCCAAAAGAATTTTTTTACAACTAATTCAAACAAGAGGTGGGAGGCCGATCCTCCCTCAGAGCACAACAACCGCTACCCATTTACTCCCCTATATGTCAGTAACACTGAAGAACGAATATTAGAGAAGAAAAACAGTCGGAGTCAAATCAGTTCAAGTTTGTAAGTCAGTTGAATGGGAAAGACAGGATTCAAGTTGACTCTGAAATAGCCGAATCAAATGGGAAAATATGTGAAATGCTAATAGAATGAGTCAGAATGCAACTGCTAAAAGACTTTAAGCTCCACAGTTAAATTAGTTGGGACGAACTGAAGTGACTGTGGAATCAACCATGAATGAAATGGGATCGAGGAGGTAGTTGTACGTGTGTGCGTTATACCATTAAAATCTTTCGTGAATGTTATGACAGGCTAAGCATAGCGCCGCTACACTAACTACAAATAGATAATCACATTGGTAATTGCATAGGAAAAAAAACACATTCACTATGGTTTTCTGAAGGTCTACTAGTTTCTCTTTAGCACGTTGCTTACCCAATCTGCACTTCCTTGAAATACACTCACACACACCTCTTGCACCTATCACACTTTCATTCTTCATTAAAAATCACACTTCATCTTCCTCTCCTACCTCAGCCTCCCTCGCTAGCCCAAGCACTCACTAATCCCATCCTCAGTCATCATTTCACCTACCCTTACCGCACAACCCTTCCCTCACTCCCGAACCCTTTCTCTCACCCCTCCCTCCCTCCTTCCTTAACCCTAACACCTAACCCTCCCTCCCTACTTCCTTGTTTCACCCTAGCACCTACCAGTCCTTCCCTCCTTCCTTCACCCTGGCATCTACCCCTCCCTCCTTCACCCTAGATCTTACCACTCCCTCCCTCCCTCCTTCACCCTATATCCTACCACTCCCTCCCTCCTTCACCCTATATCCTACCACTCCATCCTTCACCCTATATCCTACCACTCCCTCCCTCCTTCGCCCTAGATCCTACCACTCCCTCCTTCGCCCTAGATCCTACCACTCCCTCCTTCGCCCTAGATCCTACTACTCCCTCCCTCTCTCCTTCATCCCAGCGCCCAAATGGGCAGAAGATAAGTGGACGTTATCATTAGATTAACGCTTAATGCTCTCCTTAATACCTTAGTATTTCCTGGGATGGCCACTCTTATTTTTTCTGAATTTTAATCGTTCTTACTTTATGTTTTTTTTTCTTATATTGTTTACTTAAATATGGTGATGGATGTTTTCATATTACAGTTATTATCTGTTGGAAAGCAAATATACCTTTATAGCTTTAAGGTCACCGTCAGTGATCTTAGGTATGTCAGTGCCAGATCAGCCAGGCTGTCATTGGTATGATAAATTAGACACATGTGCAACTCTTGGGTATCTTTATTGAGGAAACGTTTCGCCACACAGTGGCTTCATCAGTCCATACAAAGGAGAATCTTGAAGAACAGGAGGAGAATGAGGTAATCAGTCCCTCAACCTTGAGTCGATGTGGTCAGTCCATCAATCTTGAATAGAATACGGCATACGTGCTGAGAAGGAGCTTATAAACCGTTGGCAGGAGAGGTGAAGCCAACCTCGTCACATATCTAATGATCCTCTCAAGTGTCTACACATGACTGATCAGGTGCTGTAGATGTTTGCCTATTGAATCACCTAGTGAAATCTTCTATTCATTTTAATGAGCAAATAACATGAATTAAGATATTTATTTTCTGTTAAAAGTGCCAAATTAAATATTAAAGAATTTTCACCAACATTTAACGATGTGTGTGAAGAATGCAAAATTCGTCGCAAGAATCCTATTGTTGATCTCAAGTCTTTGAAAATTTACTTATTTTGGAAAAATCTTTTGATGTTTAGACCCCTCGAAATGAGGTACCTATAGTGGTTGATTTGTTTTTTTATGTTTCTTTGGTGGTAGGTAGGTATGATGCTTGTCAGGAAACAGGACAGGTGTTTCCTGACGCGTGTCTTAGTCATAGGATGACTCACAGCTTTTGGTTATCTGACCGATGACTTCCGCTGGCTTACTGGTCCACCTCTTGAAAAATCATGGTTATGATTATAACCATTAATATTAACATTTCTTTGGTTGTTTCCGTGCGATAAGCTAAGAATGCCTCTTCTGACTGGTTTCAAACTTTAAACGCTGATGTATCTTGCTTAATTGAAGGTGTGGATTGCTACTTTGGTGTAGGTGCTAATTTTTCAATTTTAAATGTTAATTGTATTTTAAAGAAATAGTGAGCTGGTGGTATGGGAGGAGGAGGATCTGTCTCCGATCGTGCAGTACACATAAGCTGCTGTAGAGAAGATACACTGTGTATAATGGTCATTTCGTTATCTCTTCCAGACAACTTAAGGAGAAGCTAGCAACAAGCAGAATATCTAAGAGATCCTTACCGGGTCTGACTCCATTTTTCTACGTGGAGAACCTCGTGCCAAAGAAAACAGGTGTGGGTACCCAGTGGACGCGAGTGGGTTACGTGAACGGGTCGGAGGTCCAAATCAACGCTATCTTCTGGCCGGGGCGAGGGTACAAGGGAGTCTCAGAGCAGAACAAAAGGTTAAGGGTGGTTCTGGCAGAGGCTCCTCCCTTCGTCATGACCTCTGCGCTCATAGAGAACGCAACGTGCCTCCTAGGGGTCGTCTGCCTCAGGGTGAGTAGCTCATATTCAGTATTTTATATATACATATATCTAAAAAGACTTCAAAACTTGAGAAAATGCTAACTTTTATCCATTTGAGTAGGGTGTGTTGATATTAATTTTTCGTGAGATTTGTAAATTTTTGTTATACGGTATAGCGCGTGTGTGTGTTATATATATATATTATATATATATATTATATATATATATATATATATATATATATAATATATATATATTATATATAATATATATTATAATATATATATATATATATATATATATATATATATATATTATATATGTGTGTATATCGACACACACACACACACATGCAGTTTCGGAGTTATGTGGTGGTATTTCCCCTGACAAATTGTTTTTTCCATCTAGCATTGTAGCCGCTAAAAAACACTTCGATTGGCTATAGCTATTTCGTTGACGCGTCGAATATAACTTTCATGTCACGATAGAGAGTATATATATATATATATATATATATATATATATATATATATATATATATATATATATATATATATATATATGTATATATATATATATATATATATATATATATATATATATATATATATTATATATATATATATATATATATATATATATATATATATATATATATATATGGTAGTAGTAGGTTGGTAGACAGCAACCATCCAGGGAGGTACTACCATCCTGCCAAGTGAATGTGAAACGAAAGCCTGTAATTGTTTTACATGATGGTAGGATTGCTGGTGTCTTTTGTCTGTCTCATAAATATGCAAGATAACAGGTATGTCTTGCTACTTCTACTTACACTTAGGTCACACTACACATACATGTACACGTTTATTTATACACACTCATCTGAGTTTTCTTTGGTCTTATTACTTTTCCTTTTATATCCATGGGGAAGTGGAATAAGAATCTTTCCTCCGTAAGCCATGCGTGTTGTAAAAGTCAACTAAAATGCCGGGAACAATGGGCTAGTAACCCCTTTTCCTGTAAAGATTACTAAAAAGAATAAGAAGAAGAAAATTGTCAAAGTGGGAAGTCTGAATGTGCGCGGATGTTGTGCAAATGATAAGAAAGAGATGATTGTGGATGTTATGAATGAGAAGAAACTGGATGTCCTGGCTTTAAGTGAAACAAAGCTGAAGGGGGTGGGAGAGTTTCAATGGAGAGGAATAAATGGGATTAGGTCAGGGGTTTCAAATAGAGTTAGAGCTAAAGAAGGAGTAGCAATAATGTTGAAGGATAAGCTATGGCAGGAAAAGAGGGACTATAAATGTATTAATTCAAGGATTATGTGGAGTAAAATAAAGATTGGATGTGAAAAGTGGGTTATAGTAAGCGTGTATGCACCTGGAGAAGAAAGAAGTGTAGAGGAGAGAGAGAGATTTTGGGAAATGTTGAGTGAATGCGTGGGGAGTTTTGAATCAAGTGTGAGAGTAATGGTGGTTGAGGATTTCAATGCTAAAGTGGGTAAAAATGTTATGGAGGGAGTAGTAGGTAAATTTGGGGTGCCAGGGGTAAATGTAAATGGGGAGCCTTTAATTGAGCTATGTGTAGAAAGAGATTTGGTAATAAGTAATACGTATTTTATGAAAAAGAGGATAAATAAATATACAAGGTATGATGTAGCACGTAATGAAAGTAGTTTGTTAGATTATGTATTGGTGGATAAAAGGTTGATGGGTAGGCTCCAGGATGTACATGTTTATAGAGGGGCAACTGATATATCGGATCAATATTTAGTTGTAGCTACAGTTAGAGTAAGAGGTAGATGGGAAAAGAGGAAGGTGGCAACAACAAGTAAGAGGGAGGTGAAAGTGTATAAACTAAGGGAGGAGGAAGTTCGGAAGAGATATAAGCGACTGTTGGCAGAAAGGTGGGCTAGTGCAAAGATGAGTAGTGGGGGGGTTTAAGAGGGTTAGAATAGTTTTAAAAATGCAGTATTAGAATGTGGGGCAGAAGTTTGTGGTTATAGGAGGGTTGGGGCAGGTGGAAAGAGGAGTGATTGGTGGAATGATGAAGTAAAGGGTGTGATAAAGAGAAAAAGTTAGCTTATGAGAGGTTTTTACAAAGCAGAAGTGTTATAAGAAAAGCAGAGTATATGGAGAGTAAAAGAAAGGTGAAGAGAGTGGTGAGAGAGTGCAAAAGGAGAGCAGATGATAGAGTGGGAGAGGCACTGTCAAGAAATTTTAATGAAAATAAGAAAAAAAATTGGAGTGAGTTAACAAGTTAAGAAAGCCTAGGGAAAGTATGGATTTGTCAGTTAAAAATAAAGGAGTAGGGGAGTTAGTAGATGGGGAGAGGGAGGTATTAGGTAGATGGCGAGAATATTTTGAGGAACTTTTAAATGTTGAGGAAGAAAGGGAGGTGGTAATTTCGTGCACTGGTCAGGGAGGTATACCATCTTTTAGGAGTGAAGAAGAGCAGAATGTAAGTGTGGGGGAGGTACGTGAGGCATTACGTAGAATGAAAGGGGGTAAATCAGCTGGAACTGATGGGATCATGACAGAAATGTTTAAAGCAGGGGGGATATAGTGTTGGAGTGGTTGGTACTTTTGTTTAATAAATGTATGAAAGAGGGGAAGGTACCTAGGGATTGGCGGAGAGCATGTATAGTCCCTTTATATAAAGGGAAGGGGGACAAAAGAGATTGTATAAATTATAGAGGAATAAGTTTATTGAGTATACCAGGAAAAGTGTATGGTAGGGTTATAATTGAAAGAATTAGAGGTAAGACAGAATGTAGGATTGCGGATGAGCAAGGAGGTTTCAGAGTGGGTAGGGGATGTGTAGATCAAGTGTTTACATTGAAGCATATATGTGAACAGTATTTAGATAAAGGTAGGGAAGTTTTTATTGCATTTATGGATTTAGAAAAGGCATATGATAGAGTGGATAGGGGAGCAATGTGGCAGATGTTGCAAGTATATCGAATAGGTGGAAAGTTACTAAATGATGTAAAGAGTTTTATGAGGATAGTGAGGCTCAGGTTAGGGCGTGTAGAAGAGAGGGAGAATACTTCCCGGTAAAAGTAGGTCTTAGACAGGGATGTGTAATGTCACCATGGTTGTTTAATATATTTGTAGATGGGGTTGTAAAAGAAGTAAATGCTAGGGTGTTCGGGAGAGGGGTGTGATTAAATTATGGGGAATCAAATTCAGATTGGGATTTAACACAGTTACTTTTTGCTGATGATACTGTGCTTATGGGAGATTCTAAAGAAAAATTGCAAAGGATAGTGGATGAGTTTGGGAATGTGTGTAAAGGTAGAAAGTTGAAAGTGAACATAGAAAAGAATAAGGTGATGAGGGTATCAAATGATTTAGATATAGAAAAATTGGATATCAAATTGGGGAGGAGGAGTATGGAAGAAGTGAATGTTTTCAGATACTTGGGAGTTGACGTGTCGGCGGTTGGATTTATGAAGGATGAGGTTAATCATAGAATTGATGAGGGAAAAAAGGTGAGTGGTGCATTGAGCTATATGTGGAGTCAAAAAACGTTATCTATGCAGACAAAGAAGGGAATGTATGAAAGTATAGTAGTACCAACACTCTTATATGGGTGTGAAGCTTGGGTGGTAAATGCAGCAGCGAGGAGACGGTTGGAGGCAGTGGAGATGTCCTGTCTAAGGGCAATGTGTGGTGTAAATATTATGCAGAAAATTCGGAGTGTGGAAATTAGGAGAAGGTGTGGAGTTAATAAAAGTATTAGTGAGAGGGCAGAAGAGGGGTTGTTGAGGTGGTTTGGTCATTTAGAGAGAATGGATCAAAGTAGAATGACATGGAAAGCATATAAATCTATAGGGGAAGGAAGGCGAGGTAGGGGTCGGTTGGAGAGAGGGGGTAAAGGAGGTTTTGTGGGCAAGGGGCTTGGACTTCCAGCAAGCGTGCGTGAGCGTGTTAGGAGTGAATGGAGACGAATGGTACTTGGAACCTGACGATCTGTTGGAGTGTGAGCAGGGTAATATTTAGTGAAGGGATTCAGGGAAACCGGTTATTTTCATATAGTCGGACTTGAGTCCTGGAAATGGGAAGTACAATGCCTGCACTTTAAAGGAGGGGTTTGGGATATTGGCAGTTTGGAGGGATATGTTGTGTATCTTTATACGTATATGCTTCTAAACTGTTGTATTCTGAGCACCTCTGCAAAAAACAGTGATTATGTGTGAGTGTGGTGAAAGTGTTGAATGATGATGAAAGCATTTTCTTTTTGGGGATTTTTTTTCTTTTTTGGGTCACCCTGCCTCGGTTGGGAGACGGCAACTTGTTGAAATTAATATATATATATAAAATATATATATATATATTTTATATATTATAATATATATATATATTATATATTTAATATATATATATTTTTATATATATTTTATTATATATATTATATATTTTATGTAATATATATTATATATATATTAATTTATATATATATATATATAATATATTATATATTTTTTTTATATATATATTATATGTATGTATATATGTATGTATGTATAGGCAAACAATCGCAGACGGGCGCAGAAACCTTGGGGCTGGCTTTTTATATCTTATAATTTATAATTTCCTACTTGACATCTCAAAAACCCTTCTACCCCATATGGGTAGTGGTGGGATGATGGTAGGGTGGGGTTGACACCGACCACTAACCCAGTCTAAGGGTAACCGTGGCCAGTGACACCTGCGCTACTCTGAGACCTCTCTCCCTGCTTTGGTTGCTCCCTTGCAACATTGCACAGCTCCTGATGACGCACTGAGAAGTGTGAAAGTACTGAGTTAAAGATTTACAACCCCTGTGGCTTGTCCTGTGTGTGTGTGTTATATTTTTATATTATTATATGTCGTGCCAAATATGTAAATGGTCAATTAGCAGAACTCATTTAAAATTAAGCCCTTTCTGAAATTTTCTCTTATACGTTTAAAAGATATATTTTTTTCTTTAAATGTTAATGTAATTTTTCTTAATTTTGCACCAAAAGAATTCTTAGAAATCTTACCTAACCTTATTATAACAAGAGCAATTTATTTTTTTCCTAACCCAATAAATATATTTTGATTTGTTTACAATAATTTAATACTACAAACCCAGTGAAATATATTTTTTTCGTTAGGTTCAGCATGATTTTGGCGAAAATTTTTTGCATACACAAATTTTCAGTTGTCCTATATGGCAAGATGAATGTTGCTATTTAAGCCAAGATCGCAAGTTCTGCCTATTCGGCACGGGAAAATTTTATATATATATTTATATATATTTTATATATATATATTTTTATATTATATATATATTTTATATATATATATTATATATAATTTTTTTTTATTTGTGTTTTTGTGTGTGTGTGTGTGGTTTTGTGTGGTGGGGGCATACGAAACAACCACGGGGAAGTAAAATGATAGCTCTAGGCTTTTCGTGTTGCAGCTAACACATCAGGAGCTTGCAGAGTTGCAGACAAAAGGAGGAGGATGTCCGAGCCAACACGATCCTCATGCAACGGAACCCCCAGGCATAAGGAACAATGTTATGCAAAAGGGCAGGATTGCTCTTTATGCCAGGGGGTTTCGTGATGTTTCAGTTATGTTCGACCAGCGTCTGCAAACTGAACATCATGGTACGCCCGTCGTGAACGTCAATATAATATATAACATCTTGTTAAGTCCGTCGCGAACGTCGATATTTGATAGGTCTGCCGTGACCGTCGGTATAACCCACTCAGCTGCTGCTGCACACAGGTATCGTAATGCTTCAGGTGCTCTAGGTGGCATGCTTTTATACAGACTGCAACCTGAGCGATGTGACATCTGTAGTAAGGAATTATGTAAAGTAAAAGGATACAAGTGCAAGTGATGTGAACATTTTATTGTGGCAACGTTTCTCTCTCCAGAAGCTTTGTCAAGCCGTTACAAACAATACATGGACACAGAGGGTTTATATAGGCTTAGAGTGAGGTACAATCGTAGTGGTAGTAGTAGTAGTAGTAGTAGTAGTAGTAGTAGTAGTAGTAGTAGTAGTAGTAGTAGTAGTAGTAGCAGTATTAGTAGTAGTGATATAAGTTGTAGTAGTAGTAGTGATACAACATTGTCGAACAATTAACTTGCACTTGAGTAAAAGGATATAAAATCTATTACTTGGGTAGCAAAAAAATAATATGTTAAACAATTATTTCTATTGGAGGTTGAATTAGAGAAGGCCTGTTTCGGTGTTCATCCTCTGTAATGTGCTCGTGTAGCATTAGCAGGAGAGACTATGTGATGGCAGGGTTTTCTGTTTTCAGGAGGATTCTTGCCAAGACTTCAGAGAAGGTGAAGCTGCCTTTGTTTTGTTTAATTGTATTAGAAACAGCGATTAGTGACGATTCAAGGCACTTGCGTCTCTGGAAATTAGTTTCTTTGATCACTAATTGGTCGTCCCTGAATTTCATGAGAAGATTGGTGGAATTTCGTGTTGTACACAGGCGTTGTTCAAGTTATCATTCCTACATGCATAAATGTGTTCATTGAGGCGAGTGTCGAGATTTCTTGCTGTTTTACCTACATAAATTTTTTCGCAGCCTCCACAAGGTATAGTGTTAACCCTTATGTTGACTGGTTCATGGTGCTTGGATTTTGTCCTGGTTGGATCCTCAAGCGTCACTTGGTTACGTTACGTGGACGACGTCCTTCTAACAACTCCAGCTTGCCTACCTCAGACAGAGACTGGCTGGTGCCACACTACCACTCTCACTATCATACACTGAAAACTTCTCCTACTTGTCCTCTTGCTGCCTTTGCAACATTGCACAGTTCCTGATGACGCACTGGGAAGTGTGAATATATATACATATATGTATATATATTATATATATATATATATATATATATATATATATTATATATATATATATATATATATATATTATATATATATATATACATAAGAGCTTCTGACTTCAAAAGCGCAGTAGTAGGGCGAAGATCAGTACCAAAGTAACTAAGAGTATGTATTAGTTTTAGAATTGACGTTTCGCAATTAGCTCATTACTTCATCAGATTCCATCGAAGTTAAAATAGAATACCAAAAGTTGTAGAAATATGAACTTGCCGACACTCTTCTCACTTGCTTGATATGTGTGAAAATATTATGTAAAAAACGTTGAACTCGTGAGGCTTTCACCTTCAGAAGTGGTGAAGGCTTGATCCACCGTCTTTGACCACCAGTCACTCTAAGGTCTGTGCATCTGCGCCAGATTGCCCAACGAGATGCCTTAATTGAATTACAAGAGATGAAGTGCAGCATTACTCCTGACGGCCCTACATAATCATGTGGGATGATGTAGAAGGAACGTAGGAGAACTGGTGTGTGATTAAACAGGCGATGCTGGAACCTCGTCCAGCTGGAAGCTTAAACTCATGATCTGATAACTTTTTTTAATTAGAAGTTTTGAATAAAGTAACAAAATTTCAGAGTACTACTGAATTCTCCCCCTTCCCCAGAATTTACGTAATTCTTGTCCGCTTTACTTTCCAGTTTCCTTCTCTGTCTCAGTTGTTCCAGTCACTGCTACTTTCACCTGCTTATGTATTGATCATTCTGTGTTTCCAGTTGCAGTTATTCACATTTTTCTGTCTCCATGTTTTTCTTTGTATTTTTGTCTTTTTATTAGTTTTTGCTCTCCACAACTTTTGTGCCAATTCATTTATTATTTCTTTATTATCTTTTGCTCGTTTTATTCTTTTCTTCTTTAATCGATTCATTATTAATTATGCCTTTTGTTCCTTCTTATGTCAACTTCCTTTTCTTTAAAATTCTCTATTTCAAATATTTTTTTTTTCATTCGCTAGTTTATACACTGAGTCATTTCTCTCACGACTCGAGCACAGTCTTGGAATTCAGTACTGGACTGTTCTCTACAGGTCCTGTACTCATCTGTATTAACTCAATTGTGGCTGGAAAAACCGCGTCTCGGATCTTGGTTCTGCCTCACTGGCCGTTACCGGGTTCACTCCTAGCCTTCTGGGCCCTATCATATCAATTCTTAAAGCTATGTATGGAGCCTGCCTCCACCAGTTCTTTGTTCGGTTTATTCTGCTTCTTGAGCATCCCGAGGCTCAAAAAATACTTCCAGACATCCTGCGAATGGACCCTCTGATTGGGGCTCTTGAATAGATTATCCCTGCCCTCCCTACAAGTCCTCCTATTACTTTTCTCGTATATTTAAAGGAAGCGCTAAACACGTGTGAATCATTCAGAGCAAAGGGTAGTAGAGGCTCGATTCTCCATCTGCTAATTGTTAGACGATCGCAGAACTCTTTCAGCCTCTGTCTCCTTTCTGTGTGTACAGATGCATGTTTGTGCACCTAACTGTGCACATTGTTTATGGCGTAGGCATGTGTGTTTGTAGCAGCAGCAGCAGAAGCATTTACGTTTCCTTCAAACGATTTTAATTTTTCTTCTAGCTTCCCTCATCACAGTCATAACCTCTCTGTTTACCTCTCCCCTTCACGCTCTCCTTTCGACACTTCTAAAGTGTGTTTCGCGTAACTTTCCAGTGTTAAAATTCAGCTTAGATCATCCAGTGTTTATCCCTTGGAGGAAGGGGGAAGCGGAAAGGGTGAAGGGGTGCCTTGGTGCTGGTGAAGTGTTACTGATGGGGGCATTTGAAGCTACAATTCCCCTCCATTGACTAAACCTGATTATCTCCCAATCACCAGGAGCTCTCTGACTCTTAAGAGTTTCCCAGTGAATATAATAATAATAATAATAATAATAATAATAAAAATAATAATAATAATAATGAAGTGTTGTGCTGTCTCTGCCACAGGTCTTCTCGACGGAGGTGGCGGCGATCTTCGCTGACATGGAGAGAGATGTTGTGAACGCTTCCAGGGGCTACGAGGTCGTCTGTTGCAGTGGCCTCTCAGTCGACCTCATGATCAATGTCGCCACGGACCTTGAGATCGAGATCCAGGTGAGGTCAGCATGGTGCTGTTGTTAATAATAGACAGAGTTAGCAGTTGTTAAAATAGGTTTACTACTGTCAGGTAAGATCAGCAGTGGTCTAGTAGGGCTAAGACAAATTTGTGTCTTTTATCTCAGCATGACTCACGAAATCGTAATGACACGATTGTAAACAAACCATACCACGGGTGGGGTTAGAACCCGCGATCAGAGAGTCTCAAAACTCCAAGTCTGTAAAAACTTGCAAAGTATTCACTAGCATTTACTTAGGTGCTGTATGTATTGTAAGGGTTTAGTGTTTCTCCTTTGAAATGATAGTGTGCGTATGTCTTTATTTCTACAGACGCAGTTATAACTTAACCTATGAGAGGAAACTTATAATGACGTTTCGGTCCGTTTTGGACCATTGTCTTGTCTAAACTTGACATGGTCCAGGAAGGAAGGAAACGTCTTTGTAAGTTTCCTCTCCTGAGTGGCGGTCATTTGCGAAATGTTCCAGCCAAGGTATTGTGATGATTTTTACTCTTCTTTGCAGGTGTACCTAGTGATGGACGGTACCTTCGGTGCCCCGCGTAGCACGGGATGGACGGGCATCGTGGGGGATCTACTGGACGGCTCGGCCGACCTATCCTTTGCTCCTATCTCAGTCACTGCTCAGCGAGCTAGACACCTCGACTTCTCCGATCCTTACTTCTTCTCCTCCATGTCCATACTTTCCTCTACCAAGTAAGTGGCCAACTTAGCTTCATTCGG